TCCCAGCTGACAGCGCAGAGCCTGCCTGGGATCCTCTCTCTCCCTCTCAAGACAAACAAATAAGCTTTAAAAAAAAAAAAAAGAAGAAGAAGAACATTTTAAATCACAGTTTCTTCACTGTTAGTCAACTTATCCTGGCTTCAGTTTGACTTTCCTTCTAGATTAGAAACCCCGTGAAGGCAGGGCTGTGTCGCCCCCTCCCTGCAATGTCCGCGACAGATAGCCTGTATTCCATGTCCCGCAAACATCGGTCGGTTTGTAAAAATTTGTGTGAAAATGCCGGAGAGCCCAGGATGAAGGGCTAGTACTAAGTAACTGGACTTTCTCTGCAAGAAATTCACATTCGTGAAGCAAAGAGGACCTCCCTTTAAATAGGCTGAACATTCTAAACGTGGTGACAAAAATAATGAAAATGAGAAATCACGGTATACATTGCCAATGTCTTCCCGTGCTTTGGCTCCAGCCGCTAAGCCAGGCCGAAGCTGCGCGCCCTTCTTGTTCCTGGATAACTCATTCCAGGCTGGGGCCCCGGGACCCTCTCCTGGAAAGGTGACCGACTACAATGAGCAGGGTCATTCGCGGAAGCTCTCCATGGGGGCCATCTTCCAGAACCAGAAATAGGACGGCTCCCTTCCCCTCTGCAGGCCACAGGCTTCCCTGTGGGTTTCTAGCTCGTCAGTTAGGTTTGGGGGAAGTCGTGAGGTCAGCAGGCGGGAAGGAGGAAGTAGAACGCAGAAAGGAAGTTGAGGTAGGGAGGTGCGGGCGGCTGTCTCTGGCCCTTCTGGAGGAGGTAATGACCTAATTTCTAAGACGTGAATGGGGGGGGTCTCTAAGGCCAAGATCGATGGGACAAGGAGAGAAGCAGTGTGGGTCGTTGGATGGGGCACAAAGATGACAGTGCTATCACCTCACAACTCGGTCACAGGGCTCAAGGGAGTGACAACCATATGGCCCAATGGAAGCAGCACCCCCACCCCCGCCCCGCCCAGGGGCTTCAGCTGCCCAGAGCTCCTCTGCCGTTTCGCCATTTTGTCTTTTGTGGGGATCACACGAAACCGTCAGCCCAAGGTGATTGGGTGATGAGCATACTGCTTACGGGACAAAAGATCGAGGCCCTGGTCCCCTCTGTCTCTACTTAGTGTGAGACTTGGGTCAAGTCCCATCACCTTTCTGGGATTTACCTTCCTCCTCTGTTCCCACAACTTACTTGCATTTGAAGCTCTACAAGGCTCTTTCAGCAAAAATCCCCTCTATTCCATGATAGAAATCCTGACATTCCTGGAATCAGAACAGCCTTCCCAAAAGACTCACTGTGATAGTCAGTTTTATGTGTCACCCTGACTGGAGCATGGGGTGCCCCAGATATTTGGCTAAACGTTGTTTCTGGGTGCGTCTGCAAGGATGTTTCCAGGTGAAATGAGCATTTGAATTGGTAGGTTCGGGAAAGCAGTCTGCCCTTCCCAGTGTGGATGGGCATCATCCAATCTCTTCAGGACCCGAGTGGAACAGGAAGGTGGGGGGAGGCAGAACTGGGCCTGACTGGTGGGCTAGGGCACTGATCTCTGCTTCTCAGGCTTTCAGATCTGAACTGGGATCTACATGTTCTGCTCCCCTGAAGGCTCAGCCTGAATTACACCGCGGGCTTCCCTGGGTCTCCCGCTTCCAGATGCCAGATCATGGGACTCCATAATTGTTGCATGAACGGATCCCTTTTAGATCTATCATCTATCTATACATAGCCTGTTGGTTCTGTTTCTCTGGGAAACCCTGACAAATACACCCATCAAGGGACTCATGGTCCAGATGACCCCATGAGGTGGTTTCCACTGTCCTCGTGAGAATGAAGATAACTTCTTGCACACCAGTGTGGAGACACTTGAAGAACTCTGCCCTCCAGTGGGCCACGGCTGCCAAGAAGAGGCTTATAAAAACCAGCCCTTCCCTCTTCCCCCTTCCTTCATTATTTCCTTTGTGATTCCGGATTATAATCCTATAGCAGATTCTCCATGATATCCATCCAGAACGCTCAGTATTTGTAACATGATCAGGCTGAATCGACCCAGAAATGGAGCCATGAGCTACTAGCTCACACGCATACCTTGTGAAACAAAAGAACAGTCTTCTCTGACTCGTTTAGAGAAAAAGTAAGACAAAGTCTGTGATTCCTCTTCCAGGGGCTCAGGAGTCTCTTTTTGTGGGTGGCCCAAACTTGACAGTCTAGAGCTCCTGTTCCAGCATCATTGGCTTCTCCTGGAAAAACAATGCCACCCCATCCTGTTGAGAAGTCTGCCCTTTCTCACAGCATCCCATCGGAACTGATTAGCATGATTTTTGTACTAGTTCGTTTAGGGTAAAAAAAAAGAATTATTCAACAAATGCTCCTGTAAAACTGCGCAGTATAGCAGGAAATTAAACTGCCTTTTGTTCTGGCACAGAGGAGGGCTGAGAGAAAGGAGCCCTGAATTCTAGAAACGCAGTCATCCCGGGCCACCTCTGAGGCTGGTGTTAGCGCATTACTGCTCTGCAAAAGTATACAGTATATGAGCAAGCACAGGACTTTTATTGTCTGCCTCCCTAATCTGCCCTGCTATAACTCAAAAAAAAAAAAAAAAAGAAGTTACAGCCTCTCTATAAAACTATTTGGTTTTAACTAGGCTGTTAAATTTGTTTGCTGAAGTCAGCTCTCAGGCATCAAGAATTTCAATAGCACAGGGTGTCGAAGATAAATACTGCCATCAGTGTGTGGTAACCCCACAAGGGAGATTATACGCTTTGGGAGACAGGGTACCATCCTGCTAGCAATGTTCATTTAGATTTTTTTTTTTTTTACACCAAAAGGCATTAGGTCTCTTCATAAATATTAACAGAAGTTTGTCGTGAAGCATAAGCCCCAAAGTGTGGGGTGGGGGGGCAGCTGGCAGATTTTTGCTCCCCAGGTGTGGATCGTGTCTTTCTTGTTACCCCTGGGGAGGGAGGATATACTGGTGTCTCGTGGGTGGAGGCCAGGGATGCTTCTAGACATCCTATGGTGTACAGGACAGCCCCCACGACCGGGAATCCTCCTGCCCCGAGTGTCCACAGTGCCGAGGGTGAAAACCTTGGATGTACCGATTATAAACCGTCCTTCTTGTAGAAAATAAGAGAAATCGTCCTCTGTACTTGAGTGCCTTGAGTGTACCAGTGCTTGGCTGAGATTGCCTCCCTTAATTCTGCCTCTGTAAGAAAGAGTCTTTTCTGATAGGACCTGGAAGGCTTGTTCTGCAAAATCCTAGCATGATCAAAAATTGCCAAAAATGCTCCTCCCTCATCTAATTTAACCCCACAGCAGTCTTCAGCACCACCCACTGTATTCTGACCCCGGAAGCCCTGTCTTATTCTGTCCAACTGCTGCCTCTCTGGTCTCACCGTCTCTGTCTCCTTCGCTGACTTTCCCCTAAGCCATTTGCTGCTAGAGCTCCTGAAGCCTCAAGTCCAGATGCCCCTCCTCTCCTGCTGGACCCTTTGTCTGGGAAAGCTCAGTCGCACTCAGATCCAGCCACCTCCCAGCAAGGACCCCGCAGAACGCACGACTCAGCCCGAAGCTTTCTGCATTCCACATCCACCTCAGTGCCTGGCTGTCCTCTCCTTAGGACACCTCAAAGACAACTCAAACAGACACCTGAAACGTGATCTGAATCCATGACCCCCCTCCTGCTCCTCGTCCCCTTTGAGCACCCTTTGGCCAGCTCAGGGAATGGCCACCATTTACCTGGCTGTGGGGGCAGAGTCCACAGGTAGTTCTTTACCCTTTGCTCTTCCCAATGGCTGGTAAGCAAACCATCGCCAAACCCTACAGTTGACACGCAGATCCATCTACTTCTTTCCAATCTCCATACCATACTCTTGCCCAAATTCCTTCCGTGTCCAACCTGGACAGCTGCAGTGGATGTCCACTAGCCTTCCTCCATCCACTCAGCTCTCGGACCTACAGCGGAAGGGATCCAGCCAAGTACACATCAAGTCGTGATAACCATCCCCACTCCAACCTGCCCACATACTCACGCACATGCACCTGCACAAACACACTCCACTGGAAGACCTTCACTGGCTTTTTAGCACTCTTTTTTTTTTTTTTAATTTTTTTTCAACGTTTATTTATTTTTGGGACAGAGAGAGACAGAGCATGAACGGGGGAGGGGCAGAGAGAGAGGGAGACACAGAATCGGAAACAGGCTCCAGGCTCCGAGCCATCAGCCCAGAGCCTGACGCGGGGCTCGAACTCACGGACCGCGAGATCGTGACCTGGCTGAAGTCGGACGCTTAACCGACTGCGCCACCCAGGCGCCCCTAGCACTCTTAAGGTAAAACACAACTTCTGAACTTGACGCGTAAGACCCTATAGCTTCTGGTTCCTAGGATTCACTCTAAGACCTCCAAACACACTGGCCTTGCAATTCCTCCCCCTTGCCTTACTTACTCCCTCTGACCACAGGGCCTTTATCCACGCTGCTCACTCTGCTGAGAACACTCTTGCTCACCTTCTCCCTCATCAGCTCTCACCCCTCCTTCAGATCACTGCCCTGCACCTTTGCATGAATAGATGAATGACTTATGCTCTCCATTCACCCTCTTCAGATATTTGATCCACTTTCGCAGTTTTCAAATTTAAGGACCGCCTCCCTAGGGAGAAACATACCCACTTTTACAATTTTCCTTCCAACGGAGCAGTGATTCACCACCTCTCAGCACTGCACCATTTAATGCATTCTCTCCCCTCTCCAATCAGCAGTGAAAAGGGCCATCCTGAGCCCTGGCCCCTCTGCAGTCTCCAGCATTTGTCTGGAGGCGAGGAGGCCTCCAGCCTTCAGCCTTTGGCACGGGAACGCCTCTCCTTTGGGATTGGCATGACTCTCACGAAGCCCTTGTGTTGTGCCAGTTTTCGGAGGAGAAACGCTTTTAAAATAAGCCTTAGAGTATCCCTTATGGAAGAATAATTGGCAACCAGTAATTACGCCATACCTGGGGAACACCGAGAGAATCTCAGCGCGGCCAACTCGTTCCCATAAAGGAAAAGTAGAAGATCCTGGAAATACACATGTAGTAAAGAAATGGGATGAAAAGGCAGCATAGCTCTTAAAATAGAGCACTCAGGAAAGTTAATCAAAGACAAGATGCTCGAGAAAATGTAAATTTTATGGTTTTAGTGGGGAAGATAGTATGTGTCAGTTACCTGCCCTTAACAGGACAACAGTTCACTGCAAAGTGGTGCGTTAATAAATAGGTACCGTTGCTCTAATTTCCCGTCTAAATTTAGATTCATTGCAGCGCACAGCTCAACAGCTCGATGTGCGTGCCAGAGAGGCCTTATTAAATTCTAAGTCGACTTTATTCATTTGGTCCTGCGCTTCACCGTGTGAGCTGTTTCGCGCAGCCCACGATTTTACAGTTACCTGTTCGGTCGGGGATCAGTCTTAAATTATTTGTTCCTGGGAGCCCGACTGGATCGCGTTTGATTGCTCTGAAGAGAAGGCAGGAAGCAATGCTGAGCAGTGTCTGCCCCTGAGCATTACCAGATGACTCCGTCTGGCGCGGGGCTGGCGGGTCTCAGCTAGAGGTAGAGTCCTCCCTTCACACGGAGGGGACCAGACCCAGGCCACAAGCTCGCGTCTGCCCTCGGCAGCACAGCGACAGGCTTACCTCCGGAGCATTATTCCTTCATCAGCCAGATGGGATCAGTGCTCCCGCCCAAACACAGCATCTAACACAGCGCCTGTCACAGTCTACCGGCAGTGGCCGTGGGTCACTTCCCCAACTCTAAATGCACCTGGCGTCGGTCTGGATGACAGTTTGCTGAGCCTTCTCCTCTCTGGACCAGGCTGCCCTCTGGCCCCTCCCTCCTCACGTTCATTCCCCACCAGTCTCAAGCCTGTGGCTCCTCCTGCGTTGTATCAACTTTGGGGTTTGATGTAGCCGGTGATACCACAGGACCAGAGTCAGGCACCTCTGCTCCCAGACGTAAGAGGCAGGGGTTGCCAGAATCATCTTTGTTTCTTGGGGAATTCATTCTCCACCCGTGAGCCTCCCTCCCTCCCTACTGCAGCTGCAGACCTGGCAGACGGAGCTTGAGGAGGGCGAGGGGCTGCTCTCCTGGGGCCCTGGCTGAAAGAGGGGGTGTCTTTAACCCACAGCGTGCAAAGCTGAAAGGCAGAGTGAAACCGGAAGTCCTAGGCACCAAAAAGCACATATTTAGGCCAGGAAAAAGTACGCTGAAGCCAGAACACCCCGAGGGGCCTGGTACAGACTTGGGTTGAAGGGAACCAATCAGAGAGGGGGGGTGGGGCTGCCTGGGAACAAGGGGAGGGAGCTGGTAAATGACAGGCACTCTGGACCCTCCTGAAAGTGAGGCGCCTTTACTGCCCTTCTAGCAAAGTCCCCAACGTGTGCACCTGCACATTTGGGCCCCGAGGATCCCGGAGCATCTGCGCCTTGTCTCTGGGCCCCCACCCTCCCCCCACCGCAGTGGGGACAGGACCCGTTCCCAACCTGGGGCTCCAGACGCAGTGGCCACTGGCTGCCCACAGGCAAGGATACGGGACCACCCTATAACAGGGCTCCCCTGTGAACCCGCTCACACAGCGCCACCATTCCCGTGGAACAGAATGCGCCAGCCAAGTGCACTCAGAGGAAGGAGGGTGTTGTCTTTCACATCTACAGTCATCTCCGCTTCCAGCGCCAGGGCTCCTGCAGCGGGCTGTCTGTTACTCCAGGGGGCTGGGACAGCATCCCTGAAGCTGGAGTGCTCTGTGACCTCTGCGACAGAGGTGACCTCAGTCCCCACCGGGGTGCTGGAGCAGTCCCTGTAACGACTGCAGACGCATCCTGCCCATGGCTTCTGTTTTCATTCAGGACTCTCACCAGCTCATTTCAGTAAGTTTTCAGGCACCATTTGGAGAGAGCGTAACTCAGTAGAACAAATCTCTTCCCTCCTGCCCCTTCCATCCAGATTCCTGGTCGTGGGCCAACTGGCAACTGTAAATCAGAGATTCGCCCAGTGCCCCCTCATCCTGACAGACTGTGTCCCTTCCATCACCTGTCCTGGGGGTACGTGGCCCTGTTGTCCACAGATCCCTTGGTTATCAGCATTTCCTGACACAGACAGGCTCTCTTTTGGAGTCGGCTGATAAATCTTGGACATCCGCGGAAGACAGACAGACATCCAGGGTCTCTGCTCCAAATCCACTGGTTGGAAACTTGATGTCAGCCTCCTTTTCTAACAGAAACTCTGCTCTGCCCTTTGGCTTAGGTACCATCTACTTGGCATAAATGGAGGGAAATCAATGAACTCTTGACATTTGGGCATCTGGTGCGAAACAGGGTGCCCTTCCCCAAGACCAACCCTGGCTTGGTCACTTTGGAAACAAACCCAGTTATTCCCCTTACCCCCAGTCCCCAGTGATGGAAAAGATCTGAGTGGGAGGAGTACTCAAGAGGGAAAATGATCATCTCCCCAATGGCTCAAAAAGAAATGGTCCAGACATTTAAGAACCTTATCAACGAAGCAACACGAAGCGTAAGGGTGTCCACTGGAGAGCCACTTCGCGGTGTGCCTGGGCTCCCCTTAAATTACGACCACAGTTTGACCAATGACGTCTGAAACCAAGCCTAAGAGAGGCGGTAGCAGGAGATCCTGTCTCGAAGCAAGTTCCTACAATAGAAACCCACCAGCATTCATTCCAGGCATTGTCCCACCCACATCTATTCTCGCGTCTGACTGTGTGTGTTCGCTCCTTTCCTCTTAACTTCCCCCACTTCCTTGTCCTTTCTGAGCATTCCCGGCTTTCACTTTCAATCTTAACCCTCCTCTCTTCTCGGTGACGAGTGGCACCGTCGTGCCAGGCAGCAAACACAGGTGAGTTGCCTTTTCCTCTTGGGGATCCCAAAAACGGTGTCTTTGAGCAGACTTTTTGAACCTGTGTCTGAGCCAAAATCTTCACTAGGAATGGCCTCAGTATCTGAAGCTGTCCTGTGAGGCTGGTGGCCTGCCATCCTTTCGGGCTGTGAGCCGCGGCCCGCCATGACAAGAGGGGCTCTGGACGGTCCCAAGCTTGCAGTTCCCTTGCAGTTCATTCCCCTCGCACAGCCCTGACACACCAGTCAGCCCCCTCCCTGTCCCCGGCCCGAGCTCATGTCCATTCGGGCTGGAGGCTCCAAGCTGCCCATCCGGCCACACTCCGGGGCATCCTATGGCCAGCTTCGTGCTTCCACTTGTCACTGCTGTGCGACTCACGTGTCCTCGTACTCCCAGCTCCTCCTGACGTCACGATCTCTCCCACGGCAGCCAGCAGCTTGTTCCCACGAAGTGACCTCTCCCGTCCTCGCTTTCCGGGATCCAGCGACACACTGAAAGCACTTCTGGGGCCTCGAGATGGGAGCTTTTTCATGAGCTCCACTTCTTCCAGCTCCCAACATAAGCAGAGTGACCTTCCCAACCCCTGCTTGAACCATCCAAAGAAAGTCCAGGGGTGCCTGGGTGGCGCAGTCGGTTAAGCGGCCGACTTCAGCCAGGTCACGATCTCGCGGTCCGTGAGTTCGAGCCCCGCCTGGGCTGATGGCTCGGAGCCTGGAGCCTGTTTCCGATTCTGTGTCTCCCTCTCTCGCTGCCCCTCCCCCGTTCATGCTCTGTCTCTCTCTGTCCCAAAAATAAATAAATAAACGTTGGAAAAAAAAAAAAAAAGAAAGTCCGATCTGATTTACCTGGTTATGTTAAATACAGATCCCAGCGACGGTACCAATTCAGGTGACTGGAAAAGGTAACATCGAGTCAAAGTTCAACAGGTGTCACCCTAAAAATCAAGAAGGACTTAAGGAGAGGTCACTCTCCCTCTCCACACCTACCACCCACATGCGTGGGACAGCAAAGCCAATGAGGGCCTCTTGTTCTGTCCTCACAGTGAGATTATCTTCACTCAAGCCGCATCTATCAGTTAATGTGAATATTTGAGAAGGTTTTATTGCGTGTGAACTCAATTGCCCATTAATCCTAGGACGGGCTCTAAGAGGTCAGCATGATCCCTCCCTGCAAGATGGCACCATTAAAGAGAGCCACCTAAAACAAATCTGCGGCATATAAATTAATTTAAAATTGAGCAGGGTAGTTTTACATTCGGAAGATAATAAGGCTAACTAGAAGGAACTGAGAGAGAAAACCAATGTGAAGCCCGAGTGAAAAAAGCTTTAAAAAAAACATACAACCGTGAGAGAGCTGAGTCATCTCTGAGACAATCTCAAGGCCCCAGGGAAAGTTCCAGCACGGTTGTAAGAGGGAGGTCATACAATTCTCTTCTATGAGCCAATCAATTGCATCGAGCCCGGTGGCGATGGTCACCACTGGGCTGGTTCAAAACACCGACACGTGGAATAAAGGCCCTGTCTTTCTTTGATTCTGACCCTGTGTTTTCGCACCGATGTATTAAGCCGATCAGAAATCCCAGCAGAGAGAGGAGACGTGCTGGGTGGCTTTTGACTTGGATTGTGGCGGTGACGCTTCACTACGTGTAGTACAAAGGCACAGGAGTTTCACATTCAGATCATCTTTCTGTTCTGAACACCCAAACATCAGTGTCTTTGGCCCCGAGAGTAAAATCTACGGTGAAGACGATGGGAAAGTAGCCAAACAGACTATTTCGCCACGATGCCCCGTGAAAGGCAGAAAGCCCACCGGCTCACCGAATGCTGAAGGTTCCTCTCACCCGAGATCTCCCAGATCTCTCCAATGATCGTCCTCAAGTGTTAGGAACAACGACAGAAAGCATAATTTAAATACGTGACTTAGTGATTTTTTTTTTTTTTAAATGCATCTGAGGTTCTTTTTGAGGGTTCTGAAATTTCCAAAGCAGCTGCACTCCTCGGTCCTGCTGGCATCGGGGGAAACATTGTCAAATCCGTATATGGAGCTAAAAATGCCTGTGTGAAAACATCTTTTTTTCCTATTGTTGAGTGAAAATTCCATGAGCAAAAAATTCTTGCACTGTGTCCAGTAGAAATATGTATTTTCACTGAAAACATTACCCCGATGAGCTTGCTTTGAGATGTTTACGTTGGAAATAAGTAACCGAAACACACGCCTGCTCTCTCCTTGCCTGTCACCCCTCCGTCTTATCCTTCACTCTTTATTAAGAGACGGGGAGTAACCTGGCAGAAAATCAGCAGTGACAAATGCATCTGCTCTCTTCTCGGTCACAGAGAGCCTCGTCGATGTTATCCTACATCTGCAACACAGCCGTCTTCTCCCCCACGGTGCCTCTCTCTTTAAGGAACAGCTTAGAAGGTTCTGACTTGTAACTGTGGCAAAGGCTCTTGGCACCCGCTGTTTGCAGACGCTGGCCCAACTGGCTGAAGTGAGTCTTTGCTCATTTACCAGCCAGTTCGGGCCTCAGCTGCGGTTTTCAGCTTTGATCAGAGCTGAAGCCCATATCACTGTAGCATCATGTGTGAGCCTGGGCCTGGGAAGACCCAGAAAAGCACAGGCGGGGCATGGAGCAAGGCTGGGCCACCTGCTCCCCCATTCGGATGGGAGGAAAGGGTACAGCTGACTGCCCCGGGGAGAACCGGGTGTGTGTGTTGGGGGGGGGGCGGGGCGGGGGGATGAACCAGGGATGACCGGAGAGGGGCTTCGAGGGGGACTAGCATCCCACCCCACGTTGCTGCCACTTACGTGCCTGCACGAGTTACAGGTACCGGGCTTGGCAGTTAGAGAAGAGGAAGAACCCAGCCGTCCAGGATGTGGAGTTTGGGGAGGACCCAGGCGCACAGAACAGCTAATCCGAACCTGTCAGGCTGATGGAGTCAATTCTAACATGTCAGGCTGACGCGGAAGCAATAGAAAACCCAGGGAACATGCAGGGAAGGAACAGAGAAGCAACAGGATAGCCCGCAAGGATAGCTCAGTTGCAAAATCACCTATAAAGGGGAAGGTGGGGGAAAGAAGCTTCCAGGACCTTTTCTCCCTTCATTCAAATCCAATCACTGAGCACCTAATGATACCAAGATTACATGCCTGCTACAGGCAGGGCACACAAATAAATAAGGAAGAGTTTCTGCCCTCCCCACCCCCTCACCCTCCGCCCAGGACATCAAGACCGAAACACGAGTGGAAAGAAGTTGTGAGTTATTTGATTGTGCAAAGCAACAGGGGACTGTAGAGACGAGAGGGACCCCGTGTGACCGGAAGAGTCTATAGAGCTTCCCAGAGAGGTCGCCATTTATCATGAGCCTCCAGGATGAGTAGGATTTCAACCTACCAAGATGGGAGGTTGGTTTGGGCTTGAAGAAAGCCAGGCACGGAGCTCTCTTCCCTTCCTGGAGGTTTGAAGCAGGAGGTCTCACAGGCTGTGGGCCGTGCACCTTGCGTTCACATCCTGTGCCCTCTTAAGACAGGGTGATCTTGAGACATGGTCTCCCTGCCCTGCAAGAAGGGCAGGGCATCAACATTCAGCAGTTATGGGTCAGCGGTCAGACCGGGAACCTGGGGGCGGGCGTTCCCAGGTGAAAGAGAGCTAGACTGCCCCCTGACTTGTACCTGTTCCTCCCTGCCCCGGCCCTCATCAGGGTACTGCCCTGCCCTCTTCGTGCCCCAAACTCCACCCGGCCCCAACTCCCCCTCCATGCTGTGCAGCCTCGGGCAGGCTACCTAACTGCTCGCTGCCTCCAAGGGCCCCTCTGTAAACTGGGGACGACTGACAGCAGTCTCTCATAGGGTCCTACTGAGGCTGAAAGGGTGTAGTGCTTCGTGGGGCACTTAGCACACACGTAGTCACTGTTCACAGACGCAGTCACTGTGGGTTGCTGCGCCCCTCCCGAGTGATCTCATCCGCACCACGATTTCCTCATCGTTTGCAGGCTGAGAGCCCCCAGCCGGTTCCCAAAGCGCTGGCGCTCTCCAGGCCACCAGCCGGCCAACCCACGAGTCTGGGGCACATCGCCCTCACTCCTGCAATGCCGGCCGCTGCCCCGGACTCGTCAGACCCGCTGAAAACAGAGCTCAGTATCTTCGCCAACCTTTCCTCTTTTGCCCCTGATCTGGGTAATGACCTCACCATCTGGCAAGTACCCCAAAGAGAACTCAGATGCTCCTCCGAGACTTGCCCTTCATCGTCCAGCCAGTGAATAGACTGGATTTACTCAAAACCTAAACTCCTTTCCACCCCAACTGCCACTGGCTTATCATTCCTCCTCTGTCCATCCCCTCTGCCTCCAGGCTGCGTCACCCCCAGCACGTCTCCCACCCCACAGTCAACACACATGTCAAATCATGTCATCTCGTGGTTAAGGCCTCCCACGCTTCTCCACGGCTCTCTGGATAATGCCTATACTCCTGCCAGTGCACAAGGCTCTTCATCGTCTCATCTGCCTGTCTGGCCCCGTCTTCATAACGGCCAGCTTCACATTTAGCACCGAGCAGGCTCTCAGTAAATAACTGTGGAATAGGGGTGCCTGGGTGGCTCAGTCGGTTAAGCGTCTGACTTTGGCTCGGGTCATGATCTCATGGTGCATGAGTTCGAGCCCCATGTCGTCGGGCTCTGTGCTGACATCTCTGAGCCTGGAGCCTGCTTGGGATCCTGTGTCTCCCTCTGTCTCTGCCCCTCCCCTGCTTGTGCTGTCTCTCTCTCTCTCTCTCTCTCTCTCAAAAATAAATAAACATAAAAAAAATTTTAAATAACTGTGGAATGAATGAAACAATGAATGAATGAATGAATGAATGAATGAATGAACGAATTTTCCACAGGCTCCATAAGAACCTTTCCTCTGGCCCTTCTGAACTCTTTCCAGTTCTCTAGACACATCATTCCAGAAGACAGGCCTTTTGCTTGCCTTCATAAATTGTCCAGCTGGCTCCCTGCTTAATTGTCAGCTTCCCAGGCCCTCCTCAGGCCAAGATGGGTGCCCCTCTGGGCCTTCATAATACCCCAGGTCTGTCTCCCCTTGCAGGGACTATTCCCCAAGAGCGGTTCATTGCTGGTTATCCTACTAATCTCAGAGTCCAGAATCAGTCACAATTATCTAGAAGTCTCTGGAATAATGCCTAGGCACCGCCTGGTCTGAAGTAGGCATTCCATTAATGATTTATGAACCCAAAAATGAATGGATCAAACGCCAATTGTATAGTATAAACAATAGCAGCGAAGGGAGAAATCAATGTGGCATCTTTTTTTCGGTTTGTTTTTCCTTTTGGCTTTATTTCTGTGGGACCCTCCGTGCCACATTCTGCCCCACAAGAATAGAATGGACCATGGTTTCCCTCCATTTTCTGCCAGACCTACTTCCTGCTGCTACATTGACAGACTCTTGGAAGACCTACCTTTCCCTCAAATTTCTCATGCTGATTACGAACTATAATTGCCACAGTTTAGCGCAGAGAAAGCCAACCAACATTCACTAGTGGACTTCAGACGCTGACAGTTGAAATGGCCAGGAAAAGTTCATCAAGCGGGGGGTAATAAAAAGCACAGGGGAAAATCAAGAGAACGACTCCCTCGGGCATTGCAAGAGCAGGCCTTTGTGAGGAAACATTCCTCAAGGATCTGGGGAAATTACATTATAAAATGCAACAGACAGCCAGACAGAAAAACAAGCTCCATTATAATATCACGGGGACACAGACATTTCTCCTGGCTGCAAACGCACCCCAGAGCCTCTAGTCAGGCAGGCTGCCCAGATGCACCCCGATGCCCAGGCGTTTCCCATCACCCTCCATTAAGCTCCAAAGATCATTTTTATTCTCGCTGCCTCGACTTCAGAGGGCGTGAGGAATCAGGCAAGTACGCTTCTCTATTCTCAGTCTGCAACTGAAAACTGGTCAAGAAACACCAGGCACATTTTGACGCTTTGGGTTTTTTTAAGGAGCCAGGGGTCAAACAATTTGGTCACTATACTATGAATGACTTGGAAATAAACAGGATTGTTTTCCCACACAAGGTCAGCTGTAAAGATGCAACTTTTAAAATGCAAATAGCGGGGCGCCTGGGTGGCTCAGTTGGTTAAGCTTCCGACTTCGGCTAAGGTCTTGATCTCACAGTTCGTGGGTTCGAGGCCCACGTCGGGCTCTGTGCTGACAGCTCAGAGCCTGGTGCCTGCTTCATATTCTGTGTCTCCCTCTCTCTCTGCCCCTCCCCCGCTCACACTCTGTCTCTTTCTCCCTCTCGCAAAAAGAAATAAACATTAAACGAAAATGCAAAGTAAATGCAATATGCAAATACAAGGAAAGACTGTTCCAAAAACTCTGTGCTCTGAGCAGATTGCTCGCATAACATAGTGTCCAAAGGAGGCCATTTTGGGGAGCAAACAGAGAAATTATTACTAATTTCACCTGGCCATCTGGGTCTTAACCAGTACTGGCCAGGCAAACAAGTAAGCACGGTTACCACTCTGAGTGGTGTGCCCTGTGAATTATATCCTTGGTGAAGAGGATGAAGTGTACCAAGGTTATAAAGGCCAAAACCGACTTTCTTTTTAAAGACGCTCTCCCCAGACTTGGTGCTTTGCCCGTTTTCCCCGATGCCGTTTCGACCTAAATTGCATGGGCATTTCTTATCAGCAAAAGCAGGCAATAAAATCCGGGCAGGACTGGAGGAGAAATGGGCCAGTGCTCTTGTGAAATCCTTTCAACACACCAGCATGCCTCTACGAACGAGAAGACATTTAGCAAGAGGTGTGCAAGCGAGTTAGAGATGGAACCAGATGATTCAAAGGTAGGCGACCGTCATCTGGCAGGCATCCGCGTGTCTCCCCTTGAAAAATAAGCCCATAAAAGTGAAGCTTTGCCTCACGTGTCTAAGTGTCTCTGCATGGCAAAAATAATTTGTATTCGAATCAGGTGATGTTGAAAAAGAGGTGAGAAACGGATACAGAACATGTGGCAGCTTCAAAGCTTCCCTCAGAACCTCAGAGCTGGCCAATCCCCCGGCGCCGCTTTTGTCTGCTACATCAAGGACAAGTAGTTTGAGATGGGCTTTCTTCAAGCCCAGCCTCTCCACCAAAAAAGAAGGCACCCTAAAAAGTCTGAAGTCAGGGACACCATGATTTTAAAAACCCACAAAATCAACAGGGCTATCTTCAACAGCTTCTTCTCGAATTTTTACTCCTGGATCTCTCAACAAAAAAAGAAGAAAGGAGGGGGGACCAGGGGGCTCATCGGTTAAGCGTCCAACTTCAGCTCAGGTCACGATTTCATGGTTCGTGGGTTCGAGTGCTGTATCAGACCCTCCGCTGTTCTCTCTCTCCCTCTCTCTCTCTCTCTTTCTCTCTCTCTGCCCCTCTCCCGCTCGCACATTCTCTCTCCCTCTCAAAAATAAATAAACATTTAAAAAAAAAAGAACATGAAAAAAAAAATACACCTGAGTCCCCTAGACCCATGGTCAAATGCAAACCAAAAGGAGGGAAGCGCTTCCCAGCACCTCGCACCTCCACCTTGGTGTGGTCACCTCTTGATGACGCTCCTGGTGTTGGAGTATCATGTGGGTTAATGAGGAGCGCCTCGTCAAGAGGTACACGGTAGAGGAAGAGGCAGCGTTTCTCTCCCCAGCGGCACGGCCATGGCCAAGCTGTAAGCCCACACGCCCACTTTAAGGCAGCCTGCGTAGTGCACGCGGAATGCTCTGGGCTCCGGGCTCTCCCTCTGGGCTCAGCAGATCTACTGACCTTGAGACAAGGCTAGCATTCCAGGACTCTTCGGATGGAGACAACGTGCAAAAAGCAGGCAGCTGGGGGAGCGGTCACTGCGGAAGCACACCTATTGTTAATACCCCTGTTCTGTGTGGTCAATGTGCTGGAACTAGAACTTCCCTGAATTCTGTTTTCTGTGGGCTGTCCCCCCAAAATCCATTCATCCTCCAAAACATGGCCTCCACCTCTTCCCCTTCCCCAAGCATGTTTCACACGTTGGCAAAGCAAAACCTATTAATGTGAAGTAAAGTAAAATTTCACTAACTCAGAACCCACTGGATTGAAATCATTGGTACTAGGGCAGAAGCCTAACTTTGCACACCTACCTTGTGTCCCTTCACACCGCAATTTAAATTTATAAACAGTATGGTGGGGGCGGGGGGGAGTCAAACACATCAGAGAATCCATTGTTTCCACACATCGGAGGCACTCACTCGCAAATAACTGTCACAGGAAGTAAGTCACTGTTAAATATATAGTATCGTAGCTCCCTAAAGACTCTTAAAGGGCAACATTTCTATCTTTCTTGTATTGCTGTAACTCGTTCCAACAGCCTAAAACTCCGGTTGATCCCTGAATTATCACAAATGAGTGCCACCCCATTCAGTCTGAAATGAAAAGGGTCTTATGGTTCAAGAACTGGATTTTGCAGTGTTAAGTAGTCATCTCCAGGAAGGTGGTGGTGTGGATGGAGCCACTTTTTATTTCTGAAAATGAAGATCCACGCATTTGTGGTTTCTCAGCT